GGAACCTTAGTTCTGAAAATAGGTAGGATTTATGTCCCAGTATCTTATTTGGGCTTTGAGATCATCAGGGGAACGATAGGGCTTTGAAAGCCTGTCTTTAATACAAGACCTGATTTTGTTTGGTAAAAGAAATTATGAATTAGCCTGTTCTTGATTGCAGCCTTGAAAGAAGGCAGAAAGCTTCTTTTTAAAATACGTTTCTTGCTGATTAGTGAAAATAGATCAACCTTTATCTTGCTTGCTTGTTGTCTTTTCATTGCTTTACATTTTATCAATTTTTTTTGTGTGTTTTTGTTTTGTTTGTTTTTTTTTTTTTGTTAGCTATAATGCTGAAACAGATGAGTATCTCCTCCTCCCACCCTCCCCAACAGCGAAGTTGAGCTTGAGTTTGAAATTATTTGCTGGACAGAAACTGAAAGTAAAACCCCAAAATGTCTGGTATCTGTTTCATTGGCATTTACTTTGGGGACCAGCCTGATGAGGAAGGTTTTGAATCAGGTCTGCAAAGTAGCTCCCTTTTGGAAAGTCAGTAGCTCTACGTTGATTCTTATTCTCCTGTGATAGTGACTATGTGTTGCCAGCGGTGCCCTGTCCTGAGCTACTCTGCGCAGAAATCCCATGTCACTACCTAGGTATTTGTCTTTCTGTATGTGATATGCTTTTGCAAGTCTGTATTCAGTATGAAATACATGCAAGCGTTAGGGAGGAAAGGAATTATAAGCATTTCTGTCCTGTGTCCCTTACTTTGATTTGGTGCTGAATCCATCTGGATCTTCCAGGATTGCTGCTGTTCAGCTTCTCTTTTTCTTCAGCCACTTAGGCTACTTAATAAAGGGAGCTACTACAGTGAACCTCTGATGCCTTTCTGGCATGAAATGGGGAAGCTGCTAGGTTTGGGCCTCTTATAGTTTAGTACTATGCAGATGTGAAGCAAGTTCCGGTGTTTGGCCCCAAAACACCTATGTTCCAGGTAGTATGGCTTAGCTGTTATACAGGACTTTGTATATTTCAGCAAAACACTGAAAATTAGAAGTACAGCAGAGAGATTAAGTGCCTTGACCAAAACTACGCAATAATATTCACAGGGAAAAGCAACAACTTTTCGTCAGTCATTGTAGTATCCCCACAGCTTGAGATACTTTCCTGGACTAAGATCCACCACCACCTCCTTTTAAAACTAGGTTTGATTGATTACTTTGTATTTCTAAAATCCTTTGGTCTGAAAACACTGTCATAAAACCTTTTCTAAAATTGTTACTCTTAAAATTTTAATCCTCTTATCACACCAGGTTTTATTTAGCTGAGTTTAGAAAAATTTCCTCCTATGTATTAGTTGCTGGGTTTCTGATCCCCCCCCCCCCAAATGTGTGTGGTATTGTTCGTTAAATCATGGAGGAAGAATTATCTTCTCTATAGTAAAAAGCATGACTGTTCAAGTTACTTCTGCAGAAATTACTTCCTTGCAGTAGTAGCACATACTTCCCAGTATTTCTTACTGTGCAGAGAACTTTCAAAGCACATTTTGTTGTCATCTTTCTGAAGATACTTTTGGAAGAACAGCTATGACTTGGCTCTCTGGTGGTTTGGGAAGTTACCATCTGGTCTTAGGCTTCAATTATTGTAGCAATATTGGCAGAACAGAAGGTGTGTTCACACCTTGGCCGCACTTGTTCATTAGGAAATAAGATGCAGTAGCAATTACACTAAAGCTGCTGGGCCTCATGCAAAAAGTAGCTGAGGTATATTATGTTTGTTGACTTTTCTGGTCCTGTCAGCCCCTTGCTGCTGGATACTGATCTCACAGTAATTTTAAACTGACAAAGCAAATGCTAAACTTGGTCAGTATTCTGAGATAGCATTCAGCTTCTGGATTGTCTGCTGCTAACTTCAGTGCTTAACTGATTGCAGACGTGATTGCAGACTACAACTGCCTATATGTTCTTGACTAATACAGTCAAGAATAAATTATTACTTTCATAACTTTTTCAGCTTTTTATCAGGAATGACAATAAAAAACCCAACAAATCATGAGACTTATTTATTAGTACAGTAGTAAGGGTCTGCTTTTAGATTTTGTATGTCTGATAGGTGATGCTGTCCTTTGTTCTCTACTGATTGTAGGAAAAGGAGTTCAAGTGTATAACTCAATAATGAGTAAAAAAGGAGTAAGTCCTCAGTAGGACTAATGGTATTGACAGAAGGGAAATGACATAACCATCTACTGACTGGAGGTGGCTGGAAAGTCCAGAATGCATGTGTCTGTTCTTGTTCCTAAAGAGTAAAAAAAACCCCTTCAGATGTTCTACTCCTTTTCTTCCCCAAATAACCTTAATGCATGATTCTTTCAGAGAGGTTTTTAATTCCTTTACTGCTTTTCCTCAGAAGTGCTTAGCTGAAGATTATATTTTGTGCCTTTATAACATTAAAATAGAAACTTTTCCCAAGTAGCTTACTACTAACGATAGTATAAATCTTGATGAGATTAATGAGACTCGCAGTTACATTCCTAAACTCTGACATGAATTTTACTCAAGTAGTTTAATTTGAAAATTACTTGATCATGATTTTTTGTACTTAGTTTGTCTCTGGCATTAAAATCTATTTTTGGTAAAAGTCTGATCATAAAATACTGTGTATAAAGCTTTTGCTTTCTAAATAGCTTGTCACTAGATGGGGGAGGAAATGGATAGTTTGTTCACTCTGGGATTTTCATTTTTAGTCCACACATTTTCCATGAATATATTGCTATTAATTTGTCAGATGGCAAATTCTATCGCATGGACATCCAGGGGTTGTCTTAGCAGCTGACCTGAGCAGTTTGTAGACTTGTTCTTGTAACTGTATGTGAACTAAATGGTGTAGAACTGCATTCTCCTGGTTGAGGCATTTATTTCCTGAATGACTGACCTGTTTGTGTTCATGTTCTGCTACTAAACTGAAACTAATGTGGCTTTTGGACTGAAATGGGGTAGAGGGCATTCACATGAATAGCACCAATGGCAGGTTGGAGTAGGCTATAATGAAAGGCTGAAATTAGGGGTTCTGGAGTGGTAATTCAGCTAACATAGTTGTGTGTGGGGAAAAAAGTATGTGTCTGCACTGGATGTGGTAGTTTATGCTGATTGTAAAGGCAAGCTTGGAGTACACTCTTACAGAAATTAAAGGCCTTGCAACTCAAATGTAATTGCAAGAATGTGTATGGTGTGCTTTTAAATACGTGATCTGAATAAGAAGCTCCTTGCAGTCATCTAATGTTTATAATGTTTCCTTTGTCTTTCAGATTAAAATTTAGGAAGAATGAATTTTCTTAAGTTACCTTTTGCCACATAGGGAAGAAAAAATACTTTGTGCATCAGTATGCTTTTCTAGCTGCATTATCATAAATTTCTCTGGCTTTAGACATGCTACATTTTCCCTCGTTTTATTATTGAAACATTGCTACAAAAAACTTTTCCTAGTTAACGGTGTGCCTGTGAGTTTGTACTTCGCTGCAGAAAGAACTCATAATCTAATATTAGCAGTTTGCATTTGTCTTTTGACTATTAATATAATAGAACCATTTTATATTGGAGTTACTGTGTTATTCTCCCATAAATAAGAATAAAAAATAAACTTGGATAGAATAAACCACTAAGGATTGTCAAAATAGGGTAACTTGGGATCCCTCCTTTCTGCAAACATGTTAGAAGTAGTGGTGGGGCTTCGTTTTTGTCATATTCTATAAGTCCAGCAATAGTGGGTATAGGCTGGGAGAGACGTTTTGGGTAGACTAGATACTTGCTCGTAATGTGACTGCCCATCATCCTCTGCTGTGTTCTCCAATGGTGGTGTAACTGCAGAGCTAATGATACTCAGGGTATGCAGTATTTGGGAATCATAATTTTATGTCTTCTGACTGCCTTCAAAGAGTTCTGTAATAGTGGCCATTCACTTTTATGTTGAGGACTTACTTTGAAACTCTCATTCTGAGCTAGATTTGCTGTTTATTGCAAGTAGTACACAAGCTCTTCAGAAACATTTTTACATGACAACTGTTAAAAAATACATGGAGTTAATAAACTGTTTACAACCTGCGTAGTCTGGAGATATGAAAGGCAAAGAGTGCTAAATGGCTAATCTGAATTTGTAATCACTCTGTGAATGCTATAGCTGTTGTTCAGTGCTATTTTATAATGTGAATCTTCTAAGAAGTTTTTAATGCTATACAAGTCAGTTATCCCAAAAATTTGAGTTATTCTGGGATTTCTGTGAATAATACCCTCACTGGTTGAGGGATAAAACTGTGTCTAAGTTCGGGAGAGGGAAAATCTTCTTGTAGCGTTGCCTGTATCAATAGTTATTACAAGCCTAGTTTTTGAAAGACCAAAATCGTGCTGACTGTAGTTTCAAAAGGGATAGACTGCTTTCAATACAAGAATATTTTATAGTTCTCACAGTTTTTTCTTTTTGGTCCAGAGTTGCTAAACTGCCTTTTGTGACTAGCATGTGAAATAATACCATTCAGAATGGTGAAGAATATGCATGTCTGTTTTAAATTCTGTTTTTGTGGTTCTCTGTAGCTAGACCTAAATTTGCATTCTTTTAATGATCACTTGGTGAAACTGTAGTTGAGAAGCAAGCATGGCACAGTTCTGCAGCATTGTATTGCTGTGAAGGACAATGTGAAGCTAAACCTGTGTTTGTTCACCAGTGAAAACAGACATTTGGTTGAACTACCCGTTGGGCACTTCCCAGCATCGGAAAGGTGACAGACAGTAGCAGTTTGTTTCCCCCCTGTGCTATATGTGAAGTGGGGAAGTGAAAGCTCTGAGATGAACTTCCTCATGTGTTATCTATACACGTAGGTAACAGCTGCTGCTAAGTCATAGTATTTTTAAATATATACCCTAAAAATCATACAGACTATCTGAAAAAAGGTTTCTTAAACCAATGATTTCAGAGTTTGAGGAATATAGTATAATACATTCATAAAGTTTCCACAATAACTTCACATTATACCTATTAAAATATTGTTTACAGCTTCAAGCCTGCTTATTTAATATTTTTCCTTCTTTGTTAGTTCTTGTGGCAGGAGAATACTGGGCTGAGATGGAAGTCAAAACATCATTTAGCAAAGCCAGCAGGATTCCTGAAACTGTATCCACATTAATTAATGAAGAATTTGTCCTGGTTCATCAGCAATCTGAGGATACCTCTGGAAAAGATGAAAAACCTCAGCTGAAGGTTTACTATTACTTTATTTTAAATGCATAGTAAGATATGTATTGATAAAACAATTCAACTTCTTTTGAGTATTTAAAGATACTTGTGTGTGTTTGAGGAGGCTCTTAGACTGCAGTTATTTGTCCTTGGTTATTACTTGTGAAATTAACTGCTTGGATGAAACAAATCTGTCCAAAAGTGGCAGTTCACTTTTAATAACTTCTTCAGGGGTCAGCTTTATTATATTCTGTGGTTTTATACATTTGTAAAGGACTAAAAAGTTCTTTTTAAAGAGTGAGCTTCAGATTAAAGTTTGGGAAGTATTCTTTATGTAGGGATCAGATTTCTCTAAATGTTTTTATCTTAAAAGAACATAATTAGGCCACATAGGAATAGACCACAGAGGGTTTTGGTTTTTACTTTTTAATTTAGTTTTCCTGCTTAGTGTTACTTCAGGCATAACTAAGACATTTTTCTAAAAGCTTTCTTCTGCCTCTTAGTAGCAGAATATTTTAGCATTTGGGTGACAGCTGATTGGTTAATTACAAATTTCCCCACTTGAGTTGCAGTGGCTGATTTACTGGTTTTGGTCTGCTTGAAACAATAGGAATCTGTTCCCCTTGAAACCACAATGAGTACTCATTTTGTCTTTGCATAACTGGCAGTTATTTACAGCCAGTGACTTCTGCCTGTATTAAACACTAGCTGCTTCTTTAGTAATTGTCTGTAAAGAGGCAGGTGAGCTGGAGGTAGAATCCAAGATGCAAGTTTATTATTGGCCATGGCTTTCTTTGGTCTGAAAAGTGAGTACTTGTGAAAGGCTGTATGTCCCTCCACCCCCACCAGGGAACGTCTCACCATTTTCTTACCATTTCTGTGGACTTGCATCCTTCCAGTCTGTGGGACAATTGGTGAAACAACTGAAATGGATGTGGCTGAGAAAGTAAAATTTTGTTTAAGACTAATCAATAGCAAAGTCTGATCTCCATTATGAATGGAGGGTATAAATGTGCAAACCTCTTATTTTGAGAGGTCTGTAGCTTTTCGATGCATGGTTTCTGCATTAGCATTAAAAACGTGCATTATATGTTGGACATTGGATTATATTTGATTTAATTTTGTTGATTCTTATTCTGTTGTCCTGTTCAGCAAAGGTTTTTAACGTTTGCAATGGGTAAGATTATATGTTTGAAAAATAATAGTGAAAGTAAAGCTACAAGTGTCTTTAAAACGTGTCATCTGCTTACAGGTATTTTCAAATGGAGATGATCAGCTGGAGAAAGCAATGGAAGAGTTACTGAGGGATTCTGAAAAAGACCAGAACGATTTCACTGCTCTCCAAGAAGGTTCCAGTGATGCAAGCAGCCAGGCAGCTCAAGATGATTCAGCAGGTCAAACACATACGCCATCTTTGCACCTTGCTTTAGATCCTTCTACTACAGGTATTGCTGAAGTGCTTCCTCCAGCAATCATGTATGGCAGTTTTTTTCTTTATGCAGCTTCAGGTTAACCTGAAAATGAATATAAAGCTTTCTGGAGCTTCATTCTAAAACTGTGCTGAACAATATCCTGGGCTTCCTCTCCTTTTCTGATTATGTGAGGATAATAGACGGGAATAGATTGTCATCAGATTGATAGCCTATGCTGCTCAGTTTTGGTCAAGATAATTTTCATTTTGTCTTCAGTCCTAGATAAGTTAGGCCTAAGTGTTGTATAACTTACTGAAAGGGCTATAGCTGAGGTAGAAATGCTACTGATGACATATGAGAAATTCCAGGGCAGTTTTATTGATAGTACTACTTGGAAATGGAATATACCTTGTGAAAACTGATAAACTTTTCATCTCTGATTCTACTGCCAGTTATCAGTAACGACACATTTGAAACTGCTGTTTGCTGGGAATGATTGTGATACTTTTCTGGTATTTGAAATTTTAGTAAAAAAGAGAAGACAGAAAACTTTTTATATAAAATATATTGTGTATTGTAGATTTTTAAAAATGTATCTCTGTATATTAGGAATACAAGGCTGTGGCCATCTCTGTGGGCCTTGTACTAGACATTTTCTTTTTTCCTCAGTGGTATGCAGAGCACTTCTGTGACCTTGTGTCAGATAATTCCAAAAGCATCTGCTTGGAAAGTGGTGGGGAAAAAAAAAGTTTTTGTAGTAGAATAAGACAGCTTACGCATAATGGAAACACCCGTCTCTTATATACACATACACAGTTTTTCAGCCTTTATGATTTAAGTATCATGGAAATACTAGCTATAGTAATAAGGAATAGAAATATCAGGATTGCTTAGAGAGGTTTGGAATGTCTGTCTTTGGAGATATGAAATCTCATCTGTGTAGGGCTCTAAGTAACCTGATCCAGTTTTGAAACTAGCCATAATCTAACCTGATCTGTCTTTGAGCAGAAGTTAAAGCTAAATGACCTCTAGAGGTCTTTTCCAACCTAGATTACTCTGATTTGTCCACCACATCTCCTCTCATTTCTCAAATGACAAAATGCCTTAAAAAACCCCACCAGAAAACAACAATAGTGGCAAAACTGCCAAAAGCCCTCTCAAGATCATCCCAGTCCATACTAGCGATAAAGTAGAAAAAGAATGTTTCTTTTCTACTAAGTAGAGGAGCAGACAGATATCCTTTTTCTTTTTTCCAGCTCTCTGATGGTTACATGCAGTTAACATAGCTATCCCAGGAATGTGAACCCCATTTCATAATTCTACGCAAGCTGCAAAGACCTGGGAGGAAAGAGAATTAGAGGCATCTTTATGTAAAATGATGAGTAGGAACTAGAAAGAGATATAAGGAAACTAAAGAACATCTGGTGAATAAGCTTAAACAAAAATTGTGTTCTGGCACTGCTAAAGAGAAACAAAAGGCAATTTGTCCTTATGCCATACTTGGAGATATGTGTTAGAATAGAATAGATTTAAATTAAGCTGCCGGATTTCTTCCTATTAGAGCTGAACATTTGAACACCATGTCCATTTTCCAAATGGGTAGGAGGTTTTGCTCATTCAGCAAACAACGTGTAAAAAAAAAAAAAAAAAAAGCAAAGCAAATGCTTAAAGAAGTGGTTTCTTCATTTTCAGAAATCTCTGCACCAAGGCCGTTTTTTCCTGGTGAACCCCTGGAAGAGGACAGTGTATTGTTTAACAAACTGACTTATTTAGGTTGCACAAAAGTGTCTGCCCCTCGAAATGAACCAGAAGCTCTACATGCCATGGCAAACATGAAATCCTCAAGTCAAGCCTCTTTACCTGTAACACTTTATGTTCCAAACAATCCGGAAGGCTCCGTAAGGTAACATACAAATTTTTCTTTTGTTACTTGCACAGACACATAAAAGGTGGCTCTGACTTTGTTACTCGCACGTTGAAGTAGAATTGCTGGATTTGTGCCTAAAGTTCTTGCTGAAGACAGTTTTGAGAAATTCCTCTGAAGCCACACAATATGTGCTTACATTTAACATGCAGTACATAGTTGATGGTAGCAGTTGCCGTACAGTGTCAACAGAAGCGTATATTTCTACCTGCATCTCTGTTCTAATATAAGATTTCCGCTGTGAAGGGAGAGCTGATAATGCCTAGAGTCTAGGGAGATTGGGAGAAAATAATCACCTCCAAGGTAAATAGAATCATAGAATAGTTAGGTTTGGAAAGGACCTTAAGATCATCAAGTTCCAACCCCCCTGCCATGGGCAGGGACACCTCACACTAAACCATATCACCCAAGGCTTCGTCCAGCCTGGTCTTGAACACTGCCAGGGATGGAGCATTCACAACCTCCCTGGGCAACCTATTCCAGTGCCTCACCACCCTAACAGGAAAAGCATTTCCTCCTTATATCCAATCTAAACTTCCCCTGTTAAAGTTTGAACCCGTTACCCCTTGTCGTATCACTACAGTCCCTAATGAAGAGTCCCTCCCCAGCATCCCTATAGGCCCCCTTCAGATACTGGAATATGTTGAGGCAGTAGTAGTCCTGCTGGCTTTTGGTTTTGGGTTGAAGAGGTTTGAATTTTAGACTCTTCCATAGATGCTGAATACTTAAGACTTGCTAGTCTCTGTTTCTGGACAGCTATGATAAAGCCAAAACCTGAGTTTGGCTCAGGATGCATATGCTGATAGTCTCTAGATACTAAAAAAAATTTACCTGCCCCTTGTGAGAAGGGTCTATTTAAGTAGTGATGAAAGAGTCGAGTTCTTAATCAGGGTGCAATAAAGGTGCATCTGTAGCATTTCTGTATCCAGAAGTAGGGAGCATCAGGATATTCAAGGTTTTTATGTTTAAACTCTGATACCAAGATATCTTGGATATCTGTATCAATTATATGCGTAGATTCCTTTCCTGTGCTTTTCTGTGCCGCACCTATGTGTTTGCTATCATCTTGTGCAGAAAGGACTTTCAAGCACATGTTTTCTTCTGATTTGCTCTTTGAACCAAATTTAAATTTTCATTTGACATTATGACAATATTTCAATTGAATTAGGAAATTACACGGCATAATTTTATGATGCAACTGCCACATGAACGCAAGGTGTTAGGGTGCTGTACGTATTTTCATAGCTATTCAAGCTGTATTTCATAGCTTGAATGTGGCCATTCAGGAAGGCTGAAACTGAAGGTTCCTTTGATCTTCAATTGCAGAAGACATCATTACGCAAAGAACTGCCTAGGAATTTGCACAGAACTCTAAAGGTGAATCCATGTGTGACATAATACACTCAATCACAGTTCGAGTGACACCAGTGCCATCTTTGAGGAATGTTTCTATTCCATTCAGACAGTTATCTGAATACTTGTCATGTGGGGTTTCATTTACCATGTCCCACCAATAGTACAGTATGCTAAATCCTGTCTGGAATTTTCCTGCTTGTAGAAGACTAGTCCTTTATTTTTATTGTTACAGGCTTGAGATTCTATTCCAGGTAACAAATGTTTACTTACCTTTGATGTGAACGTGCATATGGACAAGTAGCAAAAAGACAAAGAACTGTGGAACTCTGTTAGAAACTCACTGTCTGGTAGTCTGTTCTGAGACCACCACCCCTGTTGTCTTCTTTAAAGTTTCTGAAATATTCATTGGGTTCGGAGTTTGAGAGGAATTTAAAATTTTGTATGAGCCCTTAAATCTGTGATTAATATTCACCTGAACATGGCAGCAAGCATTTGCTAAGCTATATAGTCCTGTAGAATCTGAATAAATAATGTTTCCTTAATGCTTTCTTAAACAGAGATACAAAAGAATTTAAATCCATCAAAATTAAAAAAGCCATTTAAATGTTAACATTGCATTTTTTTGGTATGCAAATCACATACTCACAATTGCTGTAGCTTCTGCATTTCTTCTCTTTTTCCCTAATGATTGCAGAGCAGTGATGGTCATTGTTACTGCATGATGTAGAAATATTTGTCTATATTATGGAGTATAAAAGAAATTAAGCCAGTGTTACAGCCAGAAACATTTAAATCTTAAATTTGCAAAGCCTGACATTTCTGTTCCTACTGCTCATCTTGTGTACTTGAATTTAGTAGTAATTACAGTTTAGATACTAGTTTATCTAACTGCAGAAGAGACTTTTAGGTAGGCATGTTTATTTTATCGACCTTTTTCTTTGATTCCCCCCTCTTCTTCTCCCTGACAGAATAATAAATCAATCAAGCAACACAGAGATAGCCTCATTTCCAATCTATAAGGTGTTGTTTTGTGTGCGTGGACAAAATGGAACTTCAGAAAGTGACTGTTTTGCATTTACTGAAAGCAGCTGTGGAACAGAGGAGTTCCAGATTCATGTTTTTTCCTGTGAGATTAAAGAGGCAGTAAGTATTAAATGTTGTACAGTGACTGGTAAAAAGGATACAAGTGGTATTTTAAGAAGTTACTCCAGATGTGGAAGTGATATATTGTGCCTTGAAAAATGTTAACATATATATAATGAGTTTCACAGAATGTGCAGCTAGTCATAAATGAGTATTAATATAACTTATTTTTTCTTTAGGTATTTCAGTATAATTCCAAAGTGCACTGTGATGGGATGATTTAGGAAGCCTGAGTTTAAGACAAGTATTCTGTTTTTGAGGCCTCATTTGTTTAGATTTCAGAATAAAGTTGCAGTGTAGAGCTTATGAGTTAGAAAGCATCATTTTACTGTACTCTGCCCTAGATATTTTGGGAAGAATTACATGATAGTTTGGGGGAAAAGTTTTTTTCTAGGGTGGAAAAACAGAGGTTTTTCCAGAAATGCAGGAGGAGGCTGTTAGTTGTGCTTTTCAGGTTGTGTATTTAACGATGCATTATTCAGGTCCTCTAATGAGTTGCATTCCTAATCTTATAATAATATATTAACCTGCTCAGCATTACATGAGCAATGAATGTGGCATGAATAGAAACAGGAGATGATGTTACTCAATTTGCTTGGTTATTAAACCCTTGATCTGAATGCTTTGTGTTATATGAGGCATGTTTTGTGTTCACTGTAAGAGGAAAGTGACAGTAATTTTATGACCTTCAAAATCACATCAAATGGTTTTATTGAAAGTACTCTTTTTAGTTTTTGTGAAAGTATTCTTTTGCTTTTCTGCAGGTCAGCCGAATTTTATATAGTTTCTCAACAGCATTCAAACGTTCTTGCAAACAAGCATCTGATCATGTTAAGGACTTTCTTCTTCCTACTCCAGATAGCGATGTGTACACTTTCAGTGTTTCCTTAGAAGTCAAAGAAGATGATGGAAAAGGAAATTTTAGGTAATCTGAATGGAAAGGGAAAAGTGGAAATCTCTTTGAAAAAAGCGTATAGTTATTTGCAGAATGCATAGCTACTGTGTTGCAGTAAAAATTATTTGGCCTCACTTCGTAAGTAGACTCATTATAAAAAGGAAGCTGTTGCTTTGCTTTTACAATTTTCTTCTCCATATCTTTTCTCTCAAGATTAAAAATCATTATACCTTTTCCAAGTTAGTTTCTTTTGAACCTGATTTGTGGTAGGGATACTAAAGGTAGGCCTCTGTAAATGGAAAAGATAGTAGGAACTCTGTTAAACACTTCATTGAACCAGTTCTCTTGAGTGAACCACAATCTAGCAGTCTCTTTATTAATTTATTTTAAATAGGCTAATGAAATCCAAATTTATTGAAGATTCAGAAAATGTAAACTTTTCTCAGTGTTACAGGGGACAGAGGAGGAAAGTATTCTTCGCCTTACAGTTAATTACAGGATGTTTTAGAATGGAAGAGAGAGTTAATAGTAAGAATTAGTTCTGTGAAAATGTCCTATGTATTTTTTCTTCATAGCTGGTATACGGCATATTTTCTATGATTTTAAAACCCCAAATACCCCATGCAGTTTTGGATATATTTGATAAACCCCAGACAGCATACTAAATGTGAGCCTGTAGTCTGTTTTTCTTAAGTGGTGCTTTATTAACTTATCAATAAAGGAAGAGGAGTTGTCAGATAACTCCAGCCATTAACATTGTAAGTGGGCTGCCACTCTCTTTTCTATATTTAACAGTTAATGTTTTATACCTGTGCTAAAGAAACTTGTTTCTTTATTACTTTAGCCCTGTGCCAAAGGATAGAGAGAAATTATATTTCAAGCTTAAACAGGGAATTGAGAAGAAAGTGGTGATTACAGTTCAGCAACTCTCAAACAAAGAACTGGCCATTGAAAGGTAAGATTCTTGTAAAAAATAATGCAGGTAATGTTTTTGAGAGAACAGTATTTAATGTACTTTTTCATGGCTTTGCAAGTTATGTGACAGGAAAACATACAACGACACAGAAAGTATTACTGCAAAGTTTAATTAATTTATAGGTACCCAGTTCAGTTTTAAATTCCTTCTGAAGTATTTGTGTAATTTTTAGGTGAGAACAAGAAACGTAGCCTGTAATACTCAGACATTCTTGGCTTTTGCTTTTTAATTGTCTTTTTGAATGTGGTGTTAGGATACTTAAAACATTCAAATGCTTTTGATTTTGCTTTCTGTTGGTTTTAAGTAGTGAAAAACTGTGCATTTATTGTAATCCTGCTTTACCAGCATCTTGCTGTTTAGTGTAAGTAATGAAGTTACATTGTTTGAGCTACATTAAATCTTGGAGCATATTAATCTATTAGATCAGTGTACTGGAACACTACAAGTTTGGACTCAACCTCCTGTTTAGAAGGAGCAATCTTTTGGTGGAGTCTTCAAGATAAATAGGATTCCTTTGTAGTTTTTTTATAACGTGATTCTAGTGTCTGTCTTCAAGTGGTGGTGAAGAGCCTAGGAATGGTTGGTAACTCGTGTTTCATGGAAATCACACCACGGGTATCCCTTTTGGACAGCATAATCTGACCTTTTGTGCAAAGCATGTGCACAAGAAGTGGACTGTGCATATGAAGAATAACTCTAAGTTACTATGTTTGTTAACAGTACACTCTTGTTACTATAGTAGTAGTAGGTATTGCATTAATTTAAATTAGGAAATCCTTCTCAATAGCTCAGTTTTTAAAAATAGCAACCACCACCAGATGGCAATCTTATCAAGGAGTCACAATGGGAGAATATACTGTTACTGAAAAGGGAATTAAAGATAATGGGAGAATCAAGAAAAAAAACCCCACAACCCTCCCAGAATTTAAGATTAATGTCTTGACTTGCTTTCAGACTTTGATTTCAAAAACAAAACTGAAATTTTAAGCAAGGAATATATAGCAAATTTTTTATGAATATTCTTTTGTGTTGTAAAATTGTACTTTTGCTACTCATTGGCTTAAAAAATGCTATTTTAATTATGTTTTTAATTGAAATAATTTTGGCTTCAGAATTCAGTTAATAAATTATGAGCTCTTTTAAGCATTTCTAAATAGCATTTATTGGTTTGATTTCCCTCTCTCTTCCTCCTCCTCAAAAGTAAAGCTCCCTTCCTTAGAAATAAGCTTTTATTTTGGTATTGTTTAGGATATTCAATTAAGATGTTATTTTTATTGCCACGAGCTTTGCTGAGAAAAAGTTATTTAGTTGACATGACATACACAGGCTTGTAAGTAATTTATTGTTCTTACTACTCATAATATTAAAATTCAAAAGCAGTATAGCCGATCAGGTCATATCAGGCAGTGAACTTTTAAGCAATTTAATGTGTCTTCAGAAGTATTTCTAAGTGGAAATCATAATGCAGAAAAATGTTGTTGCTAAAGAAGTTTGGTCTTTGGCCTAAAGAATCTTTCTTCCTGGTTTCAGTAGAGTAAACCTGGTATCACTCAGAGAAACTTGCCACCTCCTGGTGTTTGGATAGGGCCTGTTGCTTTGTTGATAGAGTTGGTTACTCTCAGTTGAGTTACTTTGGCCCCTAGTAGAAGCTAGTGACCCCTCTATTATTATAAATTGTAGTTCTCTCAGAGATTTTCTACCCTAGGAACAAAAAATAGCAGGTCAGTCTACTGCAGTGTTCTGCCTGGTCTAATTAGTCTTACAGAGGAGACTGGTTGTGTTGTTAAGCGTAAGTCCTAGCACACTAGCTACCTCTGTTGCTTTACATGATGCTGCATTATGCAATATATATAAAGCAAAATTGTTGTCTATTGTTTTATTTACCAGTTTGATTTTTAAGATTCTAGTAGGGAGAATATGGAGAAAGAAAAATAGAATTGCGGATGCAAGTTACTGTTTAAGTGTAATGAGGTAGAAAATGAAAATCACATATCCAAACGTAATAAAGGCAGACTTACTAGATGGCACAGTAATTGCATATAGAATCATAGAATCGTTAGGGTTGGAAAGGACCTTAAGATCATCAAGTTCCAACCCCCCTGCCGTGGGCAGGGACACCTTACACTAAATCGTATCACCCAAGGCCTCGTCCAGCCTGGTCTTGAGCACTGCCAGGGATGGAGCATTCACAACTTCCCTGGGCAACCCATTCCAGTGCCTCACCACCCTAACAGGAAAGAATTTCCTTCTTATATCCAACCTAAACTTCCCCTGTTTAAGTTTGAATCCATTACCCCTTGTCCTGTCACTACAGTCCCTCATGAAGACTCCCTCTCCAGCATCTCTATAGGCCCCCTTCAGATACTGGAAGGCTGCTATGAGGTCTCCATGCAGCCTTCTCTTCTCCAGGCTGAACAGCCCCAACTTTCTCAGCCTGTCTTCATACAGGAGGTGCTCCAGTCCCCTGATCATCCTCGTGGCCCTTCTCTGGACTTGTTCTAACAGTTCCATGTCCTTTTTATGTTGAGGACACCAGAACTGCACGCAATACTCCAGGTGAGGTCTCACAAGAGCAGAGTAGAGGGGCAGGATCACCTCCTTCGACCTGCTGGTCACACTCCTTTTGATGCAGCCCAGGATACGGTTGGCTTTCTGGGCTGCAAGCGCACACTGCAGCCGGCTCATGTTCATTTTCTCATCAACCAGCACCCCCAAGTCCTTCTCTGCAGGGCTGCTTTGAATCTCTTCTCTGCCTAACCTGTAGCTGTGCCTGGGATTGCTCCGACCCAGGTGTAGGACCTTTCCAGTTAATAGCATTGTTGAAATGATATTTGCTTTCATCTTTGTTCAAGATACAATAGTTTCACTGCTTTCAGGCAAACAGACTGTATCTTCATTTCTAACCTGTGAATGCTCAAATAATCTCTTAAAATTTATGTTTGTTGAAAAATGTAAATTTTCATTTGGGTAAGTGGGATGCCCAGATGACAGAACAGCTTTTGTGCAGACTTAGAGAATGTGGAAATGGCGGGCTCTTCCTGGTGCGTTCAGTTACCTGGTGGGAAGGGTACAGAGGAAATGGAATTAGATTTTTCTGGGAGGTGTGGCATGGTAGGATTAGAATTAATGGACACAGATTACTTCACTGGAAATGCCTGTTAATTAGGCCAGTTGTTGTCAGTACAAATGGAGCATTGGAACATGTTGCTGTAAGAGGTCATTCATTCTGTTCTCAGAGGTCCTCAGGATTTGACTTGACAAAGCCCTGGGCAGCCCGATTCAAGTTGGTCCTCTTTTGGGTAGATGTTTGGGTCAGACTGCTTGTAGAGATTGCTTTTGATTAACATTGTTCTGAGAGTCAGTGATAAAAACTGATATGTCTGATTATATTGGAGAATTGAATTAAAGAACTGAGCTGTACAGAAGAAAAATTCTCAAAGCAAACCCCTCTGAAATACAACCTTATTTTTCTGTAACATTTCATGATTGCTTTTGAGGTGGTTTGGGGTTTTTTGGTTGGTTTTTTTCTGTTTTTATTTTTTCTCATTTGAGGTCAAACTTTTTTAAAAGTCTTTTCAAAATTGCTTGCAGCTTCTGTTATAAATACATAATTCTGTTTGGTATTTTTAAATTCATAATGGAGTATTTTCAGGGAAGGAAGATAGAGATGATTTGCAGAAATTTCAGACCTGGATTTGTGCCTTCACTATTGAGGAAGTTTGAAAGTCTGAATGTTTTAAGAATTTTTTTTCTTTATTAATACTCTTAAAAGTATCAAGAGCATTTTCTTGTTAAATGATTGGACAGGAATTCTGGAATTCAAGGCTTTGTATAATATAGAAGTTCAGTAGTTCAGTTTTAAAAAGTAAAGAATGGAAGTCTAAAAATTGAACAAATACTCTCTTTTTTTCTTTTTTTTTTTTTTTTAAGGTCCCATGATGCTGCCTGTTGTTTTACACCAGTGATATTCTGGGTGATAGAAGGGTGAATTTGTAATATTTTGTATGATTGTATGAAAACAATTTTGAAAATGGTCTGGAGAGAAAGTGAATTTCCTCATCAATTTCTATCGCTCATGTATAGGAACTGTTGATATCTTTAAATTCAATATTATAAGAAGAATTGTTCACTGGTCAGAACTAACTTCTGTCATCTTCATTCTGGAAAATAATTTTCTTGTCATTTCTGTAATATGCATTGTGATGTTTCCTGAGCATTACCATAACACCAACACAAAATTGATAAGAAAGTTTCTCCTTGAATTGCAAGCACTAGGTGGCTGTGCCATTGTGTTCAAGAAAATACTTTTGTATTTTGAAAAACTGATTTCTCTCTCTCTTTCTCTCATTCTCTCTCTCTCTCTCTCTTTCATGTAAACTTAACAGATGCTTTGGGATGCTGCTAAGCCCTGGACGAAATGTGAGGAACAGTGACATGCATTTACTAGACATGGTAATGCTTAGCTCTAATAACCTGTTTAGTAAGATAGAGGTGATTTAAAAAAGCAAACAAAACCCAACGAAACAAAACTCTCATCTCCTTAGTCAACCTGGTGTGCCCCAGCTCCCCGGGGCTCACCATATCGATGCCGGCCTTAGCGCGGATGCCTGCTCGGCGTAGCGCACTGCAGCCCAGAACTTCTGGGCTCAAGGGATCCTGTAGCTGGGGCTACAGGCGCGCACCACCACGCCCGGCAATCTGTTTGGTTTTGTTTGTTGTTTCTGAAATCCTGGGGTTTATATCTTGAAACTAGGCATGAGTTTGTTATATACAGTGGGCAAAACATTTCAATAAATGTCCAAACTGATGGCATCTGTTTTTTGTTCAATTGGTGAAGCACTGATCAGGTCAGTTGGCAGCTGGTTGTTACAAATAACTAAGCTTTCTGTATTGTGTGAAGCATGTTGCCTAAAAATTTAGAGCAAACAATTATTATTTTTTTTTAAATGTGAGTATTAGGGAAGTGGTCTTACTTTTGCAGGACACTGGAAACTTTGCTTTTATTTCCTTCATTTAAATTTAAATTCTTGCTCAGAATTTGAAGTATTCACTTGTCTTCTGTAATCTTCCATTTCTTATGAGCTTCTTCTAAGAGAAGTACAAAATAATATTACACTTTCTGTGATAATATCGATTTACTTCCATGTTCTTGGTAAGTATGCAGCCATTTTCAAGTCAAGAAGTGCATGAGATAACCAGTCAGGGATTTTACAGCTACACAGTAATCCCAGTTTTTCCCAGTCCATTTCTTTAGTCATGTGGATGGTTCTAGCTATCAGTATTTAGTTTTCTTGTCAAACTCTTATTTGTCTGCTTGTGTCTACCTCTATTTGATGTCATTAGTTCCAATTTTCCATTTTTATTATTTGATTAGAAATTTAATATAGTGAGTATAAGGCATGATGAATTGGCTTCTATAAATCTATATAACAACTTTTTACTGTATAGACTGTGTATTTGAATTCCTGTCTTTACTCCATCTACAATTTTATGTATGTTTACATTTCAAGTACATTTAACCACTGAATGTAATGGCTTATTAGTTCATTTCTTGGTTATACTGTATACATATAAATCTGTGTTTTCCTTTAAACCTCTTTTCTCCCTATTTAAATCTCGAGAATTTAGTCACTCTTGCTGCTCTACCACAAATTAGATTGTAGAGTAGAAATGTCAACCTCCTTTCATCTATAAAGAGGCTGCTATACAGGCCTGTTGGATCATTTGGAACTATCCCAGAAAACATGAGGAAGAATATACTTGCCTCATACTAGTAATAGCTCCTCAGCTGCTCAGAAAGTAGAGTGGCAGATATCCCAGAATGCTTTTGTGCTTACAGTAAGCATAACTTCCCCCCTCCAACTTGATGAACTACCTTGTCTTCAGTTTCTTATATAATGTTTCTCCTAACATTTCTTCCTTCTCTTCCATTTCCCTATAACCTTTCTCAGTTGATTATTTCATATTCTTTATTTTGGCTGTATTTGCTACAGCGAACACAGTCTTACTCTGAAGTTCCTAAAACTGTTTTCCCTCCCATGCTCAATTTCTTTGATCACAAAGCATAACTGTTAGTAGAACCCTGTGTGTTTTTATTTTTAGGAATCCATGGGAAAAAGTTCTGATGGGAAGGCTTATGTAATTACTGGAATGTGGAATCCTAATGCACCCATGTTTCTGGTACTTAATGAGGAAACTCCTAAAGGTAATTTAATCTGATTTGTAAATTTGTTTTATGTGACATGGGTTTGATGTATGTGTTTTGTCCTGGGAATAGTGGTGCATATATCGAGTGCTTATAACATTATGCTCCAAAAGCCTGTGGCTAGGAGCTGTTCTGTGTAAAATATGCAATATAGAATATGAATAACACAGAACTGTGTGTTGCTTATCTGGAGATGCTAAATTAATGTTTAGGGCTTTTGTGCTTGTTCCCTTGTTATCAGGACTTTTTGGTCCAAAGCATGCAGAAGTTGTTTTGCACATTCGTTACTTAGCAAAGCAGTATAAATAGTAGGCATTGCTAGTCTCTTTCTTTCAGTTTTCAGGTGACTTGTTTGCAAATAGATTACCTATTGTTTTTGTTTTAAAAAGTTACCAGGGTTACTTGGTACACTGTTTAATGTATACTCTCATTCTCTGCAGCAGGCATTGTAGGGTATACAACTTGGATAAATAGAATGTGCTCTTGCAGCCCAGAACACCAACCGTGTCCTGGGCTGCATCAAAAGGAGTGTGACCAGCAGGTCAAAGGGGGTGATCCTGCTCTCGTGAGACCTCACCTGGAGTATTATGTGCAGTTCTGGTGTCCTCAACATAAAAAGGACATGGAACTGTTGGAACAAGTCCAGAGAAGGGTCACGAGGATGATCAGGGGCACCTCCTGTATGAAGATAGGCTGAGAAAGTTGGGGCTGTTCAGCCTGGAGAAGAGAAGGCCGCATGGAGACCTCATAGCAGCCTTCCAGTATCTGAAGGGGGCCTGTAGGAATGCTGGAGAGGGACTCTTCGTTCGGGACTGTAGTGATAGGACAAGGGGTAATTAGTTAAAACTTAAACAAGGGAAGTTTAGATTGGATATAAGGAAGAAGTTCTTTGCCATAAGGGTGGTGAGGCACTGGAATGGGTTGCCCAGGGAGGTTGTGAATGCTCCATCCCTGGCAGTGTTCAAGGCCAGGTTGAACAGAGCCTTGGGTGATATGGTTTAGTGTGAGGTGTGCCTGCCCACGGCAGGGGCATTGGAACTTGATGATCTTGAGGTCCTTTCCAACCCTGTCTATTCTGTAATTCTATAATGGGTACAATAGTAATAATTGCATAGAGTTTTCAGTTTGAACAACAGTTTACTTCTCTCATTCTTTTGAGAAATTTGAACTTTGACTAATTTTTCTGTATGTGGTTTATTTTTCTGTTTTAGATAAGCGTGTATTCATGACTGTGGCAGTGGATATGGTTGTTACTGAAATAGTAGAGCCAGTTCGTTTTTTGCTTGAGACTGTTGTGCGTGTGTATCCTGCCAACGAACGTTTCTGGTACTTCAGCAGAAAAACCTTCACGGAAACTTTTTATATGAAGTTAAAACAGGTAATCCATATTTGTTTGGGTTTTTTTTTGTTTGCTTGTTTTGTTGTTTTTTTTAAGGAAAGTTGGTACTGTGAGCATTTTATTTTTCTGTCTTAATTTGGTCTTTACAACATGGCACCTGCACTTCAGTAGTTTTTTCTTTTAACTGTTTATTTCTGAGATGCTTATATCGAATCATAGAATAGCATGCGTAGCAGTTAAGTAGCATGTATAAATGTTCAATGCCTTTGTGTCAGGGTTTAATGCCAGCTGGCAACTAATCACTGGGCAGCTGCTCGCTCACTCCCCACTGGTGAAATGGGGGAGAAGAAGGGTAAAAGCGAGAACTTGGGGGTTGAGATAAAGGCAGTTTAATAAATAAGTAAAGCAAAAGCCAAACAAGGAATTCATTCACAACTTCCCTTCAGCAGGCAGGTGTTCAGCTATCACCAGGAAAGCAGGGATCCATTACATATGAAGGTTACCTGGGGAAGACAAATGCCATCACTCCAAAAGGGTTGTTCCCCCTGCCCTTCTTATTCTTCCTCAGCTTTATATGCTGAGTATGACATCATATGGTCTGGGATATCCCTTTGGTCAGCTGTCCTGGCTGTGTCCCCTCCCAACTACTTGTGTACCACCAGCCTTCTTGCTGGTGGCATGGGAGGCAGAAAAGGCCTTGACTGCATGTAAGGACTGCTTAACAGTACTGAAACATCCCTGTGTTATCCACACCTCCCAGCACAAATCCAAACATCACCCCATAGTAGCTACCATGAAGAAAATGAATTAATTCTACCCCACCCAAACCCAGCAGACTTTGTAAACTCAACCAGAATGAGTCGTAAGTCATTGACTTTGTGGGCTTAAACAATTTTCAGCCTACTTATTGAGTTCTCTGTTATTTCATGCAATCTCACCTGTGTGCAGACATCTAAAGCAAGTCTATTTAACTGGTAAAATTGAGAAATGATTCTTAAATTGTTCAGTGTAAAATCAGTTGATATGTAACAAAGGGAAATTGTGGCTACTAAGGTTCAAAATGTGAAGGTAAGTGGCTGTAAGAATATAATCCCTTAAAGGCAAAGGAAGCTAATGCAGACGTTTAAAATTGTTAGACTATTACTGTATTTTCTTTTTTTTTTTAAACTATCTGAGAAAGTCGATTTCTGTGTTTTTAAAAAGAGAGCCTAAGTAGATTCTAGGGAATGGAACAGAATGTAACTAGGGAACGTGACAGTGGATTAACATCAAAAGCCTCAGCTCCAAAGATAGATGGCTTCTCTGTCCAGGACAATGAAGTCTGTGGTATATTTTCTTGCTGATGGAAAATCTTGGCAATCATGCTGTCGGTCATTGTGCAAATGTAGCGTGTTTGACTGTTGGTGAGAAATTCATGTATGCAGTCTGCCTGTTTCCGAGTTATAGCATGCAGAGCCCTTGGCAGGAAACTTCAGTCTTGGGCTATCTCAGCAAGGTGCCCATTCCAGTAAGGAAGCATCGATTGATGTTGTTCCAAAAGAAAGCAAGCAATGAAATGGCATTTCCTGCAAGGGGTAAATGAGACCTGTCTGTATTGGCAGAGGAAAATCTGAACTTTTCTGAGGAAGGATTCGTATAGATTTAATAGTCTGAACTGAGACTGGGGCAGTGAAGTCAGATAAGAGCAATGACATAAATGCGGGTTGCTGTGCGATTTAGGGATTGTTGTATCTATCTTGCTGTGTTACTCATTCACATTTTTGTCATTAGAGCATGATCCTTGTAGAGGTGGATTCCTATATATAGCACATTTGTGCTTCAGTAAAAACAAATAACCAAATTATTTTCATTTTATAGAGATGGGTCTTGCAGTTAATCAGCATGTGCAAGGAGCTGAAGACTTGTAATTCTTGTAGCATACAACAAAGTCCATAATACCTGGTGCCTTACTTCCTCAAAAATAAAAGCTATAGATACTGATGGTTAATAATATTAATGGCATCAATACTTGATTGATTTAACCAAGTACTTTGTAATTACTTGATAATGGGGTTCTGTGAGAATAAAACGGGGATAGTGGTTCTAATATCATCTTGCTAAATGTTACAAAATGCAGGGTATTTCTGCCCTGAAGTTCATTGAGCTCACTTCATGAGAAGTTCAGTCAGCACAACTGGCTGATAATTGGACCCGTTGCTTCTATAGAATATCATCTTTAAAGGAAGCAGATCTGAATGATAACTCTAAAATACAGTAGTAAAGTCTTCTCAGTATTAAGTCATTTATATTGTGTAGTTGAAGCAGTCCCAGTTTAAGGTACCCATCTGCATAATTTCATTAGCTGGTTGAAATTGCAGGTGCTGGTTAGCAGTTCATGTGTATCTCCAGCAAAGGTGTCATGGAGGCTTCTAACTTGATAATAATTTTGTTTGTGTTCAGTTGTTGTTTTTCTTTCTCCCAGAAAAAGTTGAATATTCTGTTACTGAAATGTTTGTTCTCTTTTTCATGGTTAATCAATGTTTTTAAGATGTTCAAAAAATTATTGTAACTAATTAGGCAAGATGCATAAAAAACAAAATAGTACAATATTTTTGGGCTGGTTCATTTAATATAATCATTAGTTTGCAGTTTTATACAATTCTCTACAAATATAGTTATCACTGTAGGTCAATGAATAGTAATACTGGTCAGAACTGTAACTCAGAGGAAAAACTAAAATTGCAATCTTATATCCAGTGCTTAAAGTATAGGTAGCTAACTTCTTTTTCATCTGAAAGTCCATTGAACATGAAAGATTTAGGCTGAACTCTGAAGTTTTCCACCCTGAAGTAAAAAGAAAACGAACGAGTTCATCCTGCCCCGCAGGCTTCGAGGTAGTTAGACATGAAAGTTATCAAATCCCTGAAGAGGCAGATTTGGAAGAAAAACTGCTTTTACAGGAAAAAGAAATTTTTCACTGAAAATATTCTGACCTCAAATTAGTTAAAGATACCATGCTCAGATTTCCAAGTTAAATGAACTGTTAGATTGACAAATATTCATGATTTGTGCATGAGCATGCACACAGGCACATACATGCACATACTTACAAGTAAGAAATGCAGTGTAGGATACAAACAAATACAGCCAATATATTTCTACATTGAAAGGGGTGGTACACTACAGGGAGCTTTTAACAATTTAGTGCTTTCAGGAAGTGTGAGATTTTGTTTCTTTTTTAATCATGTCTTTACCTACTAAAACCTCCTACCATTATTTCCCCCACACCCTCCCCACGCCAGGCATTTGATTCCTGTTTGTCATGTTAGTTACTCCAGTATTTTTCTTGTTTGTGCTCTCTTCTTTTGCTGCAGTTTCTCTTTTGACCTTGTCATTATAGCTATTTAAATTGGTGAGCTTTTTTTTATCATTATTCTGAAAAATACTTAAAGTAGTTGTTAAGAGTCAGCAGTTTTATTTTTCCTACCTGTAAAACTTAGAACAGAGCTATCAATTACTGTTAGTCTACAGGTGCCATTGCAAAGAAATCTGAGGGAGTCTTGCCCAAACTTTTATTTAGCCTTGGTAGGAGATTTGTTTGTGTGTGTTTGGGTTTGGTTTTGGCATGCTATTAGAACTCTATCAACAGTGGGGACCTAATACATACATTTATTTTAGTCTGAAGGAAAAAGCCATACAAATGCTGGGGATGCCATTTATGAAGTTGTCAGTCTACAAAGAGAATCTGCAAGAGAGGAAGAACTGGTCAGCCCAGCAAGTGGAGGAGGGCCTGTATCATCCCAGGAGGATGAGGCAGAAGAAGGTAAGAATACAAGATCACTTACAAGTTCCCAAAGATACTGTTGTTATATTTCTCCTGTTAATTTGTTCATTAAATCTTCCTATTTGTGCCAATTAGAAATACAACTGCTTTGGACAAAAAGATCACACGTAATTTTCTATTAGCAGTGGTTCTTCAGTAATAGCACTTCTACAAACCAACTTGGAGTTCTTCATATTTACCAGTTTGGCGTCCTTCCAGTAGCAGCAGCAAACACATGTCCGTTTTAATGTGCGCTTCAGTATGTGTTACTGATGCACTTGTGCTCTGGCAACAAGATAGAAGACCTTTTCTAGAGGCTTTTTCTTCTGATTTGGAAGCCATTTGCCTTGAAAGTGCTGCTAAAGGACAGCATTGCAATGGGCTTTGAAATGGCAGGCTTTAAGTACCTTTTTGCAAAGAAAAAAAAAAAGAATCCTGAACTCATATGGGGAATTTTCCCACCCCCAAACTGGTTCAGTTGGGCATTATGTTGGGGATTGCTGCTGTTCACAGACCCAGTGTATTTGTTCCTTCTGAAGCTAATAGTACCTCAGTGTCTTTCCCATGTCTTTTTTTGTTTTTCTTTTTTTTTTGGGGGGGGGGGGGGTGGGGGTAGGTTTTCTTTTTTGGTGGTGGTGGTAGTTTTTGTGGGGGTTTTTTGTTTTTTTGTTTTTTTTTTTGTTTTTCTGAAGGCCTTTGATATATTGTCGTCATTTTGTAGTCTGAAGGTTAGCCTGTAGCATTCAGAATTTGGAATAGACTTTCTGTGTGCCATTTTTGATCTTGATATCTGACTAACCAGAACTTGTGATAGTTTTGCAAAGTTATTCTTCAGATATCTGGCACTGTTCTCTCAATACGATATAAAGGCTCACTTACAGAGGAAAAATTCTTTCTTGATTCTTACTTATACGTAAGTAGGTGGATACTAGTTTATGCAACACAAATCAGAACCCTGTGATTAAAACAGTCAAGAACAGACAGGTATGGTTATGTGGTTACTCTTTTCCACTTGCAAACAAAAAAACCTGCTCATACTAAGGGGGCACCAGGCTTACAAAACCCTCAGCCAATTGCTTATTGGTGAACTGAAAACCCTTTACTGATTCCTGAAGGGAATGGGATGGGCATTGATTATTCTTTTCCTTGCATCAAGTACCACTTCTGAACAGTAAAAGTACTATTTTCTCTAAGGGAGCTTTTATATTTAATTGCTATTTGGGATTGCTTTACTGTTCATAGCAAGAATTATTTTAGATTTGACCTTTGGGTCTTGTGGTTCTGCGTAGAGTAGTTTAACATCTGTGAGTGGCGTTCTCTGTGCTGGATATTTGAGTTGTGTAATCAGAATGTTTTCTGGAGCTTGTTTGATAGGATAGGGTCCAAGTAGTGTCTTGACTACTTTTTTTTTTTTTTTTTATATTGCTTCTTACTGGGAAGAGTAAAGCACTCTTCCAGAAGCTGATAAATGTAGCACAATTAATAATAATTTGTATATTGTCCTCTTGGTACTATTATAGAATGGCTTTACTTTATTATAAAATATTCCACTGGGGTATGAACCTAAGTTTAACTTTGGTTTAGCTTCCCAATGCTAGTTTGCATATTTTAAATGTAGATTACTTCCTAAGAGAAGACATTAAAAATATCATGATGTGACTCTGTTCTCATGGAAACTGCATTTAGAGTTATCTGCCTAGAAGTTGTCTATCCTGGTGGATATGCAGGTTAAGTGAGTCATTTGCAGTTGATCTAAACAAATCTCTTCATTATTTTTCTTTCTTTTTCTTTTCAGGGTACTAATTATGATGATGGAAAAAAATCCCCTTGAGTTTACAATGTCTTGTCTTAGCCTTGGAAGAAGGCTTTTTCGTTTCTTTAACATTAAGGATGGCTACCTGGCCATATAGGGTTTTTTTTCTGCTTGCAGCCTAAGACAGGTGTGCATTATAAGGATTTTTACTATTTCATAGGCCAGAGGCTGGTGTTCCCATTACAGATACTGAGGATTATTACTCGTTCTCTTATTTTTGTTGTATCTTCATAATCTATCCTGCATGCCCTCAGAATATTATGTAATTTACTTCAGAAGCACTATACATTGCAGTTTCATTTGTATAAGAATGCATGCCTCATCTGGACCTTACCTGATTTCTGTGTACTCTGTGTGTGTGCATACACACAGCTCAGCGGGATGTCTTATGTCATGAGCATATGAATAAAGATGTTCATAAGAAAGAAGGCATTTTTTCCAATATTCTTGTTCTTTTTGTTTTAATGAAGGCCAAACATGATTCCTGCCCCCTGCAATAATGATTTAAAATAATTAGTATACTAGAGTTAGGCATAGTCCCTTTCAAATGTGCAGCAACTGTTACAGAAAATTGAGATATATTCCCTAAATAACATACTTAGATTTTTAATAGCTTTTTCCCATTTTAGCTTTATTTTTCATCTGAACAGCTATATAAAAAAACCAGACTTTTGCGAAGACTGTGCAGTAGTTACTTAAAGTGAGGTTGATCTTGGAAGATCTCTCCTTTTTTAAATTATTAATATTGTAATAGATATTTCTGGCAACCTAGTCATGTAAGGTTCCTTGCTTTGGAGATAGTAATTTTAAAAATATGGTTAATATTAATGATTTCTTATCAAAACCTAGAATGTAAAGTACACTCCATAAGAAGTTTTGTATTACAAAATATAATTTTAAAATATTAAAATATATAATGAGGAAAATATTACAGTTCCTGGAATGGTTTCAGATAAAGTGAATTTAAGTATCAGTTTTTATCAACAAGCAAAAAGGTCACTGTTAATATTTAATTTTGAGTAGAACCTTGAAAAAGTTGCAGAACACAATCGGTTGAACTAATCTTTTTGCAGCGTTAAGAGTGAGAACATGTAACAGAAGTGATGGTATACTGCATTAGTCAAAAAAGGCAAAGCTGCCCAAAGCATTTTTATTGTAGTGTCATTCTATGGCAGGATAAAGTGGGTGGCTGCATGTGTGAGCCTAAGGATTGGAGAAATTTGCTTTCCAGAAGCTTTTGCAAGGAGAATATGCGGTCCTAGAAACAAATAACAAAGGGGAAGAACAAGTTGTCTTCTTCTAGCAGCAGTGCTTGCTTAGACCATACATGAAATGCTGACTTTTGTTTGGCTCTAATATTTTAATTCTTTTTTTAATATTTCAGGAGAATACTAAATAACACCGTTGAGTTTCTTCTTGAATCAGAATAATGTCAGAAGATCAGGGATCACTATAAGTGGGAGCAATTCTGCTTAAAAACAGAAAATGGTTTTTAAACTGATTGTAACTGAGTTAATTTTTTTTTTTTCCATGTGGTCCTGTGTGTGTGATTACTTGGTTTTGTTCCAATCCAAAAATTGCCTGCGGTGTAATCACGGGATGCTTAGCGGACATTCTTGAAGCAGGTAATTCATGATAGGTAAAAGATAACACGCCTTGCAAGTCTCCAAAAAGTTTTCTGAGCATGAGTTGGAGATTGCCTCTAGAGTGCTCTCAGATGACTTCCAGGAATACAGAACTGTTCGGGTTTGTGTTTTTATTTACTGCAGCAGTAGGTTTCATAATGATTTAGATACTACTTTTCTGACTGCTAGGAACCGAGCAGGGATGTAGTTGGCTGTGTAGTCGGTACTGATCCATAGTGTTATTAAACGAAAAAGAATCCTGTTGAAATGTGTTTGGTGTTTAGTTATTGGCATTTAATAAGAAGAAATCAGATTTAAATATGAAGCTGTAGGAATAAGAAGGAGCAGCAAAAGAAAAGAAGAAAGAATCTTAGGAGGGTAAAACTATTTCTGTGTTCTGTCTAACTGTCTTAAATTGTAAGAACAAAAAGAGATAGAAAAAATAGTGTAAGAGGTATGGAAATTCTGTGGGGAGATGGTGAAATTTGACAATGAAAATAGTAATGAAAGGACCCTGAAAGCTTCCAAAAAATCTAAGTGTACTGGACAGCACAAAAAATGGTGCGTACAATAGATAAGGAGTCAGCAATACTAAATGATTGAAGATGATCAGCCAGACTAAATCAGGATACTGTGTGAAATGTTGTGGGTGGACAGAGGCTGTTTACAGGATTCAGAAAAGCAAAATAGTAAAGGAAGTGGTGATACAGGAGTCAATAGAGCTATTGAGAGTATTTTGTGATGAAGTAGGGGTTTAGAATGAGGGATAGTGTGAACAAATGAGGGTGATTTAGTGAGAAGAATGACATTGGTAGTGTGGAAATAGTCAACTCTGCATTTTTATCCAAATTAAAGGTAACTTGATGAAACTCATAGGAACTATTTGTTAGCAGAGTACAGGGTAGTACAGAGTAATGTTGATGAGTCCTAACCATGATAAATTAAACTGTGTTGGAGTCTTTTTGCCATCTCCATTAAAAATGAGCTAAAATGATACAAACCCAAATTCATGAGTTCATTTGGCTAGTGGCTGTCTTCAGACAAGAACTTTCTGCTGCAGTTCCATAATTGCCAAGATGAGTTTTAAAATACAAGCACTTCTGAAGAATGCAGATCTGTAGCTTCCAAATGAAAAGAAACTATTCCTGATGGGCCTGATGTCATTTTTATGGACTCTGCTATCCATTCTCTCAGATTGGATTATTTTCATGCCTTAGAAGTTAACTTTTGTTACTAAAAATCATAGAATAAGTGCACTCAGTTGACTTCTGCAGCTGTTATTGTGCTGCCAGAGAGAATATAATCCCTCAGTATATAAAAACAAAAATACTGAGTGCAGAAGACTTTTTTTTAATATGTGCTGAATGGTAGCAGTTGTTACTGATAGTTACAGTTGTATTTAAATTCGGTCATGCAAGTATGGCCTTTCTGTTAAAAGGCAAGTGTTTGAAATGTTTGGAATTGGAAGCACTTCTGTGGGTTACAGAAGTATTTCATGAAATTGCACGGCTGCAAAAGAAATGGAAAATTGGAGAATTCTAATTTTGCTTCTGTTCCAGTTT